TCCAACTCCTGGGCTCAAGCGAGTCTCCTGCCTCAGCCTCCCACGTAGCTGGGACCACAGGCACCCGCCACAACGCCCGGCTATTTTTTGGTTGTAGCCATCATTGTTTGGCCGGCCCAGAATGGATTCGAACCCGCCACCTTAGGTGTATGTGGCTGGCGTCTTAGCTGCTTGAGCCACAGGCGCCGAGCCTCACCTAACTTTTTAAAAACTTGTTTGTAGAGATGGGGCCTCACTATTGCCCTGGCTGGTCTTGAACTCATGACCTAAAACAATTCTGCTACAGGCATGAGCAACCCCATCCAGCCTAGTCATGACTGTCACTCTATTGTGCTACTGAACATTGGGTCTCATTTCTGGTATCTAACTGTGCTTTTGTACCCATTAACCAATTCCTCTTCGGTTCCCCCTCCACACAACCCTTCCCAGCCTCTAGTAACCACAATCGTGCTTGTTACCTCCACGTAATCAATTTTTATAGCTCTTGATTGCCAGAGAACATAACTTTTGTCTTTGGTGCCATGCTTATTGCGCTTAATATAACATCCTCCAGTTCTATACATGTTGCTGTCTCCAACCTTTTTAAAGGAACCAGATTCTGGAATTAGCAGAGAGGCGGGATCCCGTCACTTCTCATTTTAGGTAAATTTTCTCTTCTGCTTTGTTCCCTCTTCCCTCTCTGCCTTTCTAGTAATCTTAGCACTGGCTCCTTTCCAAACTCACGGATTTATAAAGCAGGCTTTAGGTTAGATTTATACTTGTTTGCAAAATTGGACCCATTGTCAAGGATTGTTTTTTTCCAAGGAGAGAAATACCACTGTGTGCCATGCAGTGTGCAGGAAGGTCAGTGTGGAAGGAGGGTGAGGGAGGGCACCCAACAGCACTGGGGAGAACAGCACAGGTGGCATCAATGTTAGTGTGAGAAGTTTGTCGGCCAGATGTAGGACAGAGTAAATTTGGTTCTTGAAACACCACTGAAGTAAAGCCAGAAAAATTGCCAGCTTTCTGGAGCACGTGTTCTAGTGGGAAGAGATAGACTATATTCTGTGAGCAGAGCAAGTAAGAAAAGCGTTTATGTTAGAAGATGGTCAGTGCTACCAGGAGCATGACCCAGAGGGTCTGTGGGGACAGGGATGGTGGTTATTGTGCTGGGTGGTCAGCATAGGTCTTGTTGCAAAGGTGATCTTTGAGGAAAGATTTCAGGGACATAATGAGTTATCAATAAGGATGTCTGGGGAAGTACTTTCCAGGCAGGGGGAACCTCCAGCCACAATGGCACTGGAGCAGGAAAGTGTCTGTGTTCTAGGAAGAGCAGGAGGCCAGAAGGGCTGGACAGAGAGTCACCAAGATGTGGTGACTGGAGCAGATGGAATGGGGCTAGAACATGTAGGCCTGGAGGGTGTGGAAAGGGTGTGACCTTTGCTCTGATTGAGATGGGGAGTTAGAGGATGGTTTTGAGCAAAGAGGGACATGGCAGGACTTCTCCTTTAACAGGGTCTCTCTGACTGCTATGCTGAGAACTGAACTGAGAGGTAGGCGGGCAATGGAGCAGGAGGGAAACAGCAGGGAAGGAGGGCAGGATTCCAGACTGCAGATCCCAGTTTGAACAGTGGGAATCAAGGGAAGTGATGGGTTTTGGATACATTTTGAAGATGGACTTTACAGCATCTTGTAATATATCTGGGATGTGAGGAAGGGGAGTCCAGGAGGACACGCACAGCTGTGGGCTGTGTGAGGAGAAGGATGGAGCTGCCACCAGTGGAGATGGGGACAACTCTGGCAGGGGTGTGTTTGAAGAAGGGGCATCCCAGGCATTCAGTGGAGGAGGTGTCCACTTGGAGTGAAGGGGAGGAAACAGTGGAGGCAGCCTCAAGCCTGAATGTGGTCATAAGAGAGTGACTGGTGCTGTAGAAGAGAATATGAGCAAGGATAAACCCTGGATGTGCAGGGCTGAGGATGTGATCCGACCGCATGCCCAGAGCAGACTGTACAGTTCTGACACCACATCCAGAAGGCACGACACCATGTAGTCCCAGGATTTACTCTGTGTGGGAATCACCTGGACGTGGTGGTGAGACATAGGAGTTGAGCATGAGACCCTGGGGTTTATGACAGGGACGGTGCTGAAGCTCCTGGTCTGCAGATCACACTTTAGTGGCAAGATTGCACACCAGGATCCCCAGGTGTGTGTGCATTGGCCTCATGTAGGGCTTGTAAAATCAGTCCTTGGTCTTGTGTGTAATACTCTGAGAGTGGGGAGAGGCCTGAGTATTTTCTAAGTACCACCAGCAATCCTGGTTCTCAGCCAGACAGGGAAGCTCTGAGGCCAGTGATCACAGAGTAATCAGGGTGGGTCTTCAACCCCCTTTTAAATATCCTTTTATCCTTCAGAAAGAAAAGGGAGAACATATATCATTAAATGTGAGACGTGGTATTGGGAAATTCACATATTCTCTGTACTACAGGCTAGGGCCAGGCAGAGGATTCTGGAAATGACTCTCAGCTCTGAATAAAGAACATCTCTGAATGCTGTGCTCTGACACTATTCCCCAGACTGATTTCTCACTCACTTCTTGGAGCAAACAGTGGAAGCCAAATATTTCTAATGTGCATGTTAGGTATTATATATGAGGTCTGAGAATTAAGTTTGTGAACTTGGAAAGGGCTTCAAGATGGTGGAATAGAGATATTTCCTCATAAGCTGCTCTCAGTAAGTTCAGGGAGAGGAGTCCACACCTGTATTCTCTGGGTCAGGAATGATATTGCCACAGCTCCGTGAGACAGCCTAGGACATCAGAGAAGCAGGGTAGGAGGCCTGGAAAGAAAGCAGGTGCAAGGGAGTGCCATGACCCAGGACAGCCTATAGGTGGAATCCCTGGGGATTAAGTTGGCAGGAGATTCTCCTCCACCTCCCTTTGCCCCATCTCCCTTTCTTCACTCCCCATCCTTCCCTCCCCATCCTTCCCACCCAGTTGGGGTGGCCCAGGTATTTGACCAAAGTCCAGGAGGGCCTATCCCTCTTGGCACATGTTGTGGTGTGAAGCAAAGAGGAACTGAGGCCTCACAGGACACTGGGGGTACAGTAGCTGACCCTTGGGCAGGGGGCTGGAGAGAGTGCATGCTGTTTCTTTGACACAGTGCCACAGGCTGGAGCCCTAGCACTTAGGGAAGTAGCATTGGGTGAGTTTAGACTGTAGCTTACACCAGAGGAAACTCTGGCTGCCAGGCATCCTGCCACCTTCAGAGAGCCATAGGAAGGGAGCAAAGATTACTGAAACCTTGAGGCAGCTCACACTCAATGTGGCCCAGATGGAGCAGCTTTCTAGGATCCCAGTGTGGACTGGCTTTGACTCCGACCTCTATGTTAGGACAACCGTCTCCGGGTTGACTCCTACAGAAATGTGGGCCAAACTGGGGAGATCCTGCTTCCCACACACAACCTCTCGCACCCACTAGGTAGTATTTGGATAGCTTAGGGGTGTCCGCCAGAAAGTCTGGGGTAAGTTTCAGGACATTAGCTCCCCTGCCCCTCCTGGGATTGAACTCTCCTACAGCTACCAGGCTCAGATTAAAATAAAAAAAAAATAAAGACAGGATGTGAGAGGGACTTTACCTAATAAATGTAATCAGTGTTTCTAGTACCCTCAGTGAATCCCCAACAATAAAAATAAATAAATAAATAAATAAATAATCAGGAAAACAAAACCAGGTTTCCATGACAAGTAGATGGTAACTTTCTGCCTCTACCACATCCAGAAACAGATGTATTTTTTTTTTTTCTTATCTGTCCAGGAACTCTACCTAGTGTTATCTTTATTTTCTTTTTTCTTTTCCTTATCATGGAGCATCCACTGTGTTCATACTACATACACACACATACACACACACGGTGTGTGTGT